TCGTCCATGAAAACTGGCCGTGCATATAACAGGTGCTCTGGGGTCTAAAGAGCGACTATAAAATTCTTCATTTAAACCGTAGTTTCTATCACAAACACCTCTATGTCTTACGTTAAAATTAAACCCTGTCCAAATTTATTGCTATTAGTAGTTGTATACACACATTAGTTAAATACGACTTCAGATCTCTCAAGCTATCCAGGACTGAGGCGACAGCAGATGTTGCTCTGTCGATGATTGTTTGCCTGTCAGAAGAACAAGAGGACGGCGTGAGCCATAAAATTCTAAGGTTTATATCACGCTCTGGAAGTCAACAAACCAGGTTAGAGCAACAAACATGTACATTGAGATACATTCACACTAACGAGGTCATGCCATGATTGCCTTTAATTGAGGGCCTACCGTCCCACACAGCTAATTTCAGATGATTGCTAGTGAACCACAAGGTATCTAAGGAGTCCATAATGAACTACGGGGACACGGGCGTTCATTGATGTTAATTGGCAGTTGGCATTATACGCATTTAGGGCAACTGTGCCACATTGAAAACAAAAGGGATTTGGGGTGAATCGTTTATTATCTCCTCCACTCATATATAGTTAAATGTGTTCATTTTATCATTAGACCTTAAATGTCCCGCTTCCTGTACCTCTCTGCCTCACTGTAGCCGATCCTGTTGCTGTCCACGCTTCGGATGAACGGCCTGTACAGTGGCGACGACTTGTTGTCTGTGATATTGGTAACTTGGTCAAACTGCTCAGGTAGCCGAAACTGAAGCAACACAACATCAAACATATTTTCTTCAGATGTGAGACACAATGTGGGTGCATGTGACGTGGGTGAGCCTACCTTCTCGTCATTACTACCTGTGTAGTACAGATTCCCACTCGGCTCATCTGTATCCAAGAACATCTGTATCCAACAACATCTGTATCCAACAAGTCATAATATGTAATCCACAATGGACCCGATTCGCCAGTTTCGCTAGTTCGCATGACACATCATAGTATGAAATTATTAGTCAACTATCGTTCGATGTCAGATTAGACAATTAAATATTGTTAAACCAATAAAAATATGTTTATAAATTAGACGGTTTTACGAACTATACGTACTGAGATACTGTCGCAATGTGGTTAACACTGAAATAGTGCAATATCAATATTCCATTTCAGACCTAGGCATTGGAACGGAATACCTCGACTGGAGCCGACAGAACTGGTCGCAAGAGACCACTAACTTAATTATGAGATCGGTTCACTGTTTGCCTCCTCACCCCGACGGCATGGATCAGTGACAGGGCCGTCAGTTCCTGGTATTCCTGTTCTACGATTGATAATTCACAATTGATGGGAACATCAAGACTTACATATACCTTTCTATACACGTTGAACTGATAAAAACATTAAGACCTACATATACATTCCTATTCACCTTCAGATGATCAGAACATCAAGACTTACATATACCTTCCTATACACCTTCAGATGATCAGAACATCAAGACTTACATATACTTTCCAATACACCTTCAGATGATCAGAACATCAAGACTTACATATACATTCCTATACACCTTCAGATGATCATACACCTTCAGATGATCAGAACATCAAGACTTACATATACATTCCTATACATATACATTCCCAATACACCTTCAGATGATCAGAACATCAAGACTTACATATACCTTCCTATACACCTTCAGATGATCAGAACATCAAGACTTACATCAAGATGATCAGAACATCAAGACTTACATATACCTTCCTATACACCTTCAGATGATCAGAACATCAAGACTTACATAGACACCTTCAGATGATCAGAACATCAAGACTTACACCTTCAGATGATCAGAACATCAAGACTTACATATATACCCTTCCAATACACCTTCAGATGATCAGAACATCAAGAGAACATCAAGACTTACATATACCTTCCTATACACCTTCAGATGATGATCAGAACATCAAGACTTGATCAGAACATCAAGACTTACATATGCCTTCCTATACACCTTCAGATGATCAGAACATCAAGACTTACATATACCTTCCTATATTCAGATGATCTTCCTATACACCTTCAGATGATCAGAACATCAAGACTTACATATACCTTCCTATACACCTTCAGATGATCAGAACATCAAGACTTACATATACCTTCCAATACACCTTCAGATGATCAGAACATCAAGACTTACATATACCTTCCTATACACCTTCAGATGATCAGAACATCAAGACTTACATATGCCTTTCCTATACACCTTCAGATGATCAGAACATCAAGACTTACATATACCTTTCTATACACCTTCAGATGATCAGAAAATCAAGACGTACATATGCCTTCATGTTAATTCAGCTCCCTAATAATTCCTGATAAGGAGCAACCAGTAGTTCTGACCAGTACTACATAGGCCCTCTATTCTATAGTTATGGCTCTGTGTAGGCTATCGTTATACTTACTATGGATGCGTTGTGGTACGTTGTTCCATTCCGTACGGCTTGCTGGAAACTCTCTTTTATCTCAGATATCTGTGTAAACATAATACAACAGTAGAAAACAACTGAAATATATGTATGTTGTACTTTAACGGAAAAACGTAACTGTGCTTCATATAAAGTTCAATAAAAGTAGACTTTTTCTGAAATTATCTTTCATTTTTCAATCAGGAGATAAACATCATGTGTTTGCCAATTTCCAGGTGTTATTGAGTATGTGAAGCAGGAGAATCCAATTGGAACCGACGGCGTCAGCCGGAGGTTTCAAATGAAATATTCCCGTGCTTCCAATACTCAATAACACCCGGAAATTGGCCAACACATGATGTTTATCGACATTGTAAACATCAAAGTAAACCAAAAGGTCCACACACGTTTTTGTGTCTGCGCTCATGGACATCGACTACGGGTACAGCAGTGAAATGTCATCAGCCGGCCGTTTCGGCTGTCTCCCTATCGTAGCATCTAGAACTGCTCATTTGTGACGTCATTCAGACTTTACGTCACAATATGATTTGAATGACGTCATCACAGCTGACGACGTAACAATACAATGGTGTGAGCGATGTTTGTATGTATTAATACGCAGCGAATTTCCGGGAATCGAATACCATTTGATCATGTTTTTCAACCAATCAGATTAAAGAACACAGTGACTTTTGGTTTACAATACACATTAATGGAAGAATCTCCACTGCTTTGAGGTCGTGATTCACAGTTTGCGCATGCATGGTCATGCTGGGTGCACAGTTTTCATGTTTGCGTGTTTGTTTCCATGGTCCTCACATGCATACTATCTGAAACCAGTCAGCACATAATTAGGAGATAAACACATGATGTTTATCGACATTGTGGCCTACCTTTAGAATACAGCACCACAAACTTTAAAAATACGTCATAATACCCTTTTACGTAATGTAATGTGATTTTGTTCGAAAGCACGTTCTCGAAACAATGCCTTATGACGCCTGCATGGCAACACGGTTGTCTGGCTCAGCGAGGGCGTATAAGCTCCGCTCACTGGTGTTTCATCTCTACGAGCTATGTCATTGCATAAGCCCAACGATGTTGAGAGTTTCCAGTAGTTGTATACCGGCGGATGCGCAATATTTTGCAAGCACCAGTTTGAAATATTTTTCTTTTTTCACTAATACGCTCATATTTATTTGTATTACGGGCTGCTGAGGTGTTATGTTTTGTGTATTTTGTATTTTTTAATTTTTTAAATTTACATATATATATTTGTCATTCAGTAATTTGCACCATTACATAGAAAAGTGTTTTATTAGTATTTTATTTTTCGAAGCGGTAATAATGCATTACACTAGACACGTCAGTCGTGTTTGCGCCAGTTCGGTCAATGCATTCTATTTATTAGGATTAATTCAAGGGATTGGGGTTAGGGTTAGGGCTAGGGCTAGGGCTAGGGCTAGGGCTAGGGCTAGGGCTAGGGCTAGGGCTAGGGCTAGGGACTAGGGTTAGGGTTAGGGTTTAGGTTTAGGGTTAGGGTTGGGGTTGGGGACCTAATGCAATATATAGTAGGTACATGTCCGGTGGTTCGGTCAATGCATTCTATTTATTAGGATTATTTCAAGTGGTTAGGGTTAGGGTTAGGGCTGAGGGTTTAGGGTTTAGGGTTTAGGGTTAGGGTTAGGGTTAGGGTTAGGGTTAGGGTTAGGGACCTAATCCAATATAGCAGGTACATGTCCGGTGTAATACGTGAGTACCATTTGTTGTTTTTCCTTTTTGCATTTTAATACTTTTTTTCACACAAAAACGGGAAACCAAAAACGTCGAAAGTACATTATGAAATGGGTTAATGTAGAAATTTTGGGCTAATGGAAATTGGTCTGGAATTTGCACTCAAGCCTCTTTCACACGCAACATAAATTTTGTAAAGTAATGATTCGAAGGCTAACTCACCCTCGTGCCGTCACTACACATGCTCATGTCTCCCTCGTTCCTTAGTGCGATCCACATTATCCTTACAGTGTTCCCTACATCACTTTTCTGTCACAAAATCACCGATTTATATAAAAGCGCGTCATTCATGCATGCACCGTGAAATCTACGTCTGACGCCTGACGTCAACAACCCTTTTCAGTTTGAGGCATATCGGCTCATTCCACGCCACACGTTAATTTGTAGATTACGGAATGGGACGAGTGTGCCAAATGGCATCGGATCCATTCGGCAATTGTCCGGAGAATAAAATCACGAGACACCAAGTCTACCCGTAGCATTCGTAATTGTCCGTGACCTATTCGACTCTTTCCGTTCATTTCCGTGACGTCACAGGAATGACTCGATAAATTTGCACATTGTGCAACAGTGTGGACGTAGCTCAGTCGGTTAGCTGTCGAGCTAACAATCCGAAGGTCGCGGGTTCGCGTCCGACGGGTTCTCTAAACTGGTTGCTTGTCTTAATGACACGTGACCTACGGCGAGAGATCGTCCTCACGAGAAGTTGTGGTGCTGTATTCTAAAGGTGGTGGTACGTTGTTCCATTCCGTACGGCTTGCTGGAAACTCTCTTTTATCTCAGATATCTGTGTAAACATAATACAACAGTAGAAAACAACTGAAATATATGTATGTTGTAATTTAACGGAAAACGTAACTGTGCTTCATATAAAGTTCAATAAAAGTAGACTTTTTCTGAAATTATCTTTCATTTTTCAATCAGGAGATAAACATCATAGTTGTGCCAATTTCCAGGTGTTATTGAGTATGTGAAGCAGGAGAATCCAATTGGAACCGACGGCGTCAGCCGGAGGTTTCAAATGAAATATTCCCGTGCTTCCAATACTCAATAACACCCGGAAATTGGCCAACACATGATGTTTATCGACATTGTAAACATCAAAGTAAACCAAAAGGTCCACACACGTTTTTGTGTCTGCGCTCATGGACATCGACTACGGGTACAGCAGTGAAATGTCATCAGCCGGCCGTTTCGGCTGTCTCCCTATCGTAGCATCTAGAACTGCTCATTTGTGACGTCATTCAGACTTTACGTCACAATATGATTTGAATGACGTCATCACAGCTGACGACGTAACAATACAATGGTGTGAGCGATGTTTGTATGTATTAATACGCAGCGAATTTCCGGGAATCGAATACCATTTGATCATGTTTTTCAACCAATCAGATTAAAGAACACAGTGACTTTTGGTTTACAATACACATTAATGGAATGACGTCATCACAGCTGACGACGTAACAATACAATGGTGTGAGCGATGTTTGTATGTATTAATACGCAGCGAATTTCCGGGAATCGAATACCATTTGATAATGTTTTTCAACCAATCAGATTAAAGAACACAGTGACTTTTGGTTTACAATACACATTAATGGAAGAATCTCCACTGCTTTGAGGTCGTGATTCACAGTTTGCGCATGCATGGTCATGCTGGGTGTACAGGTTTCATGTTTGCGTGTTTGTTTCCATGGTCCTCACATGCGTACTATCTGAAACCAGTCAGCACATAATTAGGAGATAAACACATGATGTTTATCGACATTGTAAACACAAAAGTAAACCAAAGGGTCCACACACGTTTTTTGTGTCTGCACTCATTGACATCGAGTACGGGTACAGCAGTGAAATGTCATCAGCCGGCCGTTTCGGCTGTATCCCTATCGTAGCATCTGGAACTGCTCATTTGTGACGTCATTCAGACTTTACGTCACAATATGATTTTGAATGACGTCATCACATCTGACGACGTAACAATACAATGGTGTGAGCGATGTTTGTCCATATTAATACGCAGCGAATTTCCGGGAATCTAATACCACTCGATCATGTTTTTCAACCAATCAGATTAATGAACACAGTTACTTTTGGTCTGCAATTTATGTTTAGCGATCAGGTGCCCATGATATCAGCTTTCTTCATAACGCTAACCCAATACCCCGGCTTGAGGTGGAGATGTATTGGGGAATATAACGACCAATGGGACACCTGAACATTACTAATGTCAGTTTGAATGACGTGTGCTGGGACGCCAACGTTATTGGGTCGACATCACTCGACATCATGTTCTACCATTTAATATTAAGAGGGGCCGTAATACTTCTGTACTGCCATGGCTACAGAACATGTCTGGTATGAGATGGAGTAACGCCTACGACAGGTTTAGAATCAGCCACGCCAACTAAATGGCCCAACTCAGGCTGTTTCCAATCATGTAGTATCTTTAGAGCGCCGTCGCTGCCTCACCTGTCTAAATTGTGGTTACACCCAATATAGATATTTTGAGTTATTACAATGCCACCCTTTAAAGGTGTGCAGCTATTTCCCCTGTTGTCGGGTATGTGTTTTCCCAATGCATTTCTTGTGATAACACATTGATCTGAAGGAATGAAAATATTGTATGTTGTTAATTTCAATAGCGTAAGATTTAGACCACATTACATGACACATGGGTGTTTTTTCAGCCAGGATTTAAACACATTATGAAATACAGTAATAATAATATGCATAAAGGAATTTTACTCCCAGTTTGACTTCAGACCTGATTACAATATTTCGGTTCACAGATGCCGTTTACATCAAACTGACTGCCTTGTATTGTACGCTGTGAACATCCTATACCGAATTCATGACGTCACCAATTGGTATTCCGGAAATAGCTGGAATAAATACTTTCGTCGACGGTTTCACAAAATACGTGTTGTTGTGATACCTGTTGTGGTAGCAGAGTCAGTCTGTGAAGGTAATTCTCCACATCACCCCTCGTGTTCATGGGGAAGCTCGTCATCCGGTTCACATCCATCTGGACTCCTTCAAGGAAGTTCACGGGATTCAAGTTAACGTAGCTAAAACAGGAAACATCTTGTTATTCCATGTTCATTTTATCTGATAGTATCAGCCATACATTTGCTGCGCTTGACACTTCAGTTACGCACGCGACACAGAAAATCTCCGCTGATCCGCAAGCCGTAAACGAACTGTTTTGCTATGCATTTAATAAGATATAAGCTGCATTTCCAACATTGATGTTGGTGCCGCTACGTTGACACTGCGTTGGGTGGATAGTACCAATTATAATGTATCTATGGATATGTCAGTATCTCAATTGTGAATTTTGAAAGTAAGTATTTTAGTAAGCTCGGTGGCGGGTTCAGGGGCTGCTCTGCGCGTCCCTCGGAATACGACACCTGAATGTTTGCATGTGGCTGTCGGCTGGTGTGTATTTCATTCTAGGCTTGATTACATAGCTTTATCGAAAGTTTTTTAAAGAAAACTATTATTATGTTTGTGTATAGTCATCCTTGCAGCCATAGCATATAGACACAGCTATCACATATCTGTTCTTAACTCACAATCTCCACTGGTACCCGTCTCGAAAGGCTTCTAGTGTGTAACGGAGTATTTTATAGCTGACTTTATCCTGACGGGTCAGCTCGTCCTCCGAGATGTTTACTAAGCGCTCGTACAGTCCGTCAACATGGTACTGCGGCAGACAACGACAAACAAAGTCACATTATGTGATACGTGGAGCAGCTATACATGTACACGTTCCTTACATAGGCCCATGTGGTGTAATGGACATCTAAACTCTACATTGAGTATGGTATGTGACTTTAGGCATCGTCTCCCGAGTGTACGTATAGATAAAGAATTGTTAGATAACCTGCAGATTAAGGCTTTGTCTCTGAATATATATAATTTTGATAGCAACAAATAATCCCAATTATATTTGAAAAGGAGCCCCAGTCTGATGGGAGTTTCAGAATCTGAGGAAATCTAGACTTGCTTCATGAAGGATTTAGCATTGCAGGGAGGGATCTGCATGAAAATAATGCGGTTCGAAGCCTGTAAGACAGACTAAATGACTTGCTCCAAACAAGCGAAGGCTGTGATCTGATCCAAATCATCTCCCTATTAAAAGAATGCATATATACTTCTCATCAAAAGTTTAGACTCACTACTGTATATAGCCACTTACTTCAGGCAACTGTTCTCAACTAAATTTGGCAAAATATGCCCTACTGTTTTAAGGTACTGTTTACACATGAACTGATGTATTGTAGAACAAATTCGTAACGTTGAAAAGATCATTGTCATGAGTTTAGTTAAATGATGAAAATCAGTGAAAAATGGCGAATTCTGAACAAAACTTTACACCACAACGCAGCTGTTCACATGCACGATATTTGCACATAGTTTTCAGCAATTTGGTGCTTGTTCCTCCTGCCATTCAGCTGCATAAAGTTTGCTGTTGTATCCCCAAAGTTAGTGGAGAAATCAAACTTCGATGTAACCAAATATATATATATATATACGCACAAAATGTCCAAAATAGTACAGGTGTTCAGTCATAAATATTACATAGATAAATAAAAACAGAATGCCTTTTTCTCCAACATGTTTCGTTCTTTACTCTTCAGGAGATTGTCAATCTTTGACAATCTCCTTGAAGAGTAAAGAACGAAACATGTTGGAGAAAAAGGCATTCTGTTTTTATCTATATCTATGTAATATATATATATATATATATATGCATATAGATGCATATATATATATATATATATATATATATATATATATTATTTAACAATTTATATATATGTGCATAACATATAGTGAGTGTTTTAAGTGAGTCTAAACTTTTGAAGAGAAGTATATGTCAATTCCATTATAAGGCATTGGTAAAAAGGAATACTCTGTATAAAGTAATGATTTTGTATTTGAAGCATTTATGGCAAATCGTATTCCCCTGTTATGTGACATTCCATGGTAGCGAGAGGCAGGATGTGCACCTTATATTGGTCATATCTGGAGAAGTTGAAGGACTCCAAGCGGTCGTTGAAAGTATAGACGTTACGTGACGTCGCTGTTCTTGGTCTCTGGCTCAGCCGAAATGTTTGGAATTCTTCAGCCAAGGAAGCCAACATTTGACTGCCTGTTTCATCTGAAGCAGGGAACAATTCTGGCGCATCAATATACATATATACCTACATCATCTACAGTACAGGCGCATCAATATATATATATACCTACATCATCTACAATACAGGATTGGTAAACCTATGGCGATATATAGGTACGATTATGACATTGCGACATTATGTCAAATCCTCACAGCATGACATGACTCTTTGAACTGTCACCTTCTATCAGAACATTCTTACAACTCCTGAAGGCGCTTTATCCACCCTTGTAAATAGGCCATGGGTTGATGTCATGTGGTAAGCGTCGTCTCGTCACTTTCTATCAGACTGACTGACTGACTGAGTTTGGTTTTACGATGCTTTTAGCAATATTCCAGCAACATCACGGCGGGGGACAAGCAAGCGTCCTCGTACTTTAACTATAATAGTTCAGGGCAAAAGTGTGCTTTATTACACTAAACATGGTGGTAGAGCGAATTGTATTTCTTAAATCAAAGATCGTGACCGACTATATGACATTTAAACAAAATGGCGTCTGCCTCTCGACTGGATGTTAACAATCAGTGAAACATATTCTGACAAGCTTAAAACTGCTATAAAAATGGTCAATTATGTTTTAATTTGAGTGTGCAAACCACTCAGTGCATCAAATAGCTTTCATAAAGCAGTGAAAGTCGGTAAAATATATCTGTACAAAGTGAACACAAAAACAGCTGATTGAACGGTTTTCGAACTCTGGGCACGGCGTACGTCATATTATGACGTCATACGATTGTTAGCGCTTCAGCTTCTCGGCGGAGAGCTTGGCGGTTACCATGGCAGCGGGTAATATTTTTTCCAAGTGTCATCCTCCTGGGAGGGGTGACACGGGAACTTGTTAAAGCGTCATGGACCAATGAAATTTAAGTATTGCACATGAATGTGAGATAAAGTTGAATGACGATCGGTAATTGATGAATGGACGGTCCCACTGTCAAGCCTATATCTTCGTTCATCGTATATCAATATCGATGGTGTACAGTTTAAGACGTCAGATACACTTTTTAATCTCAGAAAGAAGAAACTAGTTTGTAGGACCTTATCGGAGTATTTGACATTCCAAATGACCTCATAAGCACTGAAACGTCAAAACAAAATTAATTAAATTTTGAACAACGCACATGACACGCGAAAGTGAGGGGGGGGGGTTGTCTTTGCCCTCCAAATGTCAGGTGTATTTAGTTCATTCCAATTACAATTTTTATAACTGAGTCAGACATAAAAAAAGACGTCTACAAGTTGGCAGAACGTGATGTTGAAACAATGGGGCTAGCTTCAGTAACGTTCTAAGCGAGTCCACGTAATCATAAACAACGATGTATTACGTCTTTCACAATCCCTGCTCCTTATCTAGTCAAGCCTGTGTGCTTGGACCAGGCAATAGACACATGGCGACCTCCATCGGCCTGACCGGCTCAGGGTTAACTGACAGGCCGATATAACACTCATACGTGGAGCCTGGAGACAGCACGAACGAAAATTCCAAACATGGATTATTTTTAAGGCGAAACATTTTGCAAAATAAACATTTTGGGTGTGAAATATATAACAGTCGTTCGTTTTAAAAAAACAATGTATGATTGTATAATTTTCATTAGGTGAAATTTACTGTGAGACACAGGTTTGAACGTGAATTAGATAATAACATAGTTTACTTTCCAAGTCTGAAACCCATGGACCACAAAACTGTCGGCGCCGAACGTGATGTTGTAAACAACGACCCTAGCTTCAAAGACATTTTCGCGCGAGTAGAAATAATAACGCTTTCTTATATGCAAGCCATCATTACTACGCTTTAATCTAACTTTAAAGGTCGTTTGGTGAAATCACCATTGTATTTTAAGTCAATGTAATATAATTCGTGCATACATTGAGCTATTAATGACTACTGTGAGAATAGTATTTAATTGATACTAAACTATTAATTTCAAATTTGTAATGGGGTAGCCCTGGGTTTCGAACACCCAAGTTTTACACTACTCTTAGTAGCGAGTTTGGAGGTCATGATATCTGGAAACGGGTTAGGACAAGTTTACTTGATACCTTACAAAGGTATATTAAACCTGATGTCAACAAACAGTAAACTGCTGTGACCAGGAACTCAAAGTTACAACATATTATAGTTAGTAAAAGCGGGCGGTGGGGGTAGTCTAGTGGTTAAAGCGTTGGCTCGTCATGCCGAAGATCCGGTTCGAATCCCCACATGGGTACAATGAGTGGAGCCCATTTCTGGTGTCTCCCGCCGTGATATTGCTGGAATATTGCTAAAAGCGGCGTAAAACAAAACTCAGTCAGTCAGTCAGTCAGTTAGTTAAAACCGTAGTTTGTTATATGCAAACAGCCCTGAAAATGGATGGCGCTAGAGCGTCGGGCCTATACCGGACTGTTACGGCACTAAAGAACCCCTCGAGGGGAGTCACGCCGCAACGAGTAGGAGAGTCACCGAGAGGAGCGTGAAAGCTTGGGACGCAAGCCTGAGTGGAGCCGCCTCGGGTGCAGATCTTGGTGGTAGTAGCATATATTCACTACAATATGCAGCAAGTGGCTCGGACAAAACATACCAGTTCGTTATATCCGAAATAAACACAGACATCTTCATAGAGTATGGGCCAAATATTGTATGAAGTTTGTAGCAAGCTCCTCTATGAAGGTTCACACACCAGTGAACTGACACAATGGTTGAAGTCAGTACTTTAACAAGCGTCGCCAAATACGTTCGCCCAATCGCATGGCGTCATTGCCCTATCGCTTCGCCCCATTGCCCCATCGCCTCGCCTCTCGTCTCATCGCCCAATCGCATTGCGTCATCGCCCCATCGCATCGACCCATCGCCTCGCCTCTCGTCTCATCGCCCAATCACCCAATCGCATTGCGCCATCGCCCTATCGCATCGCCCAATCCGATTGCGTCATCGCCCTACCGCGCAGCCTCTCGTCTCATCCCCCAATCGCCCAATCGCATTGCGTCATCGCCCTATTGCATCGACCCATCGCCTCGCCTCTCGTCTCATCGCCCCCTCGCCCAATCGCATTGCGTCATCGCCCTATCGCCCCATCGCATCGCCTCTAGTGTCATCGCCCTATCACATTGCGTCATCGCCCCATCGCATCGCCCAATCGCATTGCGTCATCGCCCTATCGCATCGCCTCTCGTCTCATCGCCCCATCGCCCAATCGCATCGCGTCATCGCCCTATCGCATCGAATCATCGCCCCATCGCATCGCCTCATCGCCCCATCGGATCGAATCATCACTCAACTGCACTTGTACTCTAGACAGACCTATTTCATATGTCAATATACACAACTTACCAACACCTCGGGTGAAATCACAGTTAAGGAGTAGCAAAATGCACACGCCCAAAACCATTCTGAAACAGACATAATTGTTGCAACACTGACAAGACCAACTTTAGAGTACGACAACAAAACTATACAATATCACAGATTTATGAAAACAAGATGATAATATATACCGTTCGCTTCTGGCATTTTTGATATTAGAAGCATGCTCGTTGTAAACTGTATATATCATTGGTGACAAAGTGTGTTATAATGTGTGACAAAGTTATGTTATGCGTTCTGGAGCGGACTGACTCGTCCTACACTACATAACCTTGTACTGGTATGCAGCCTCAGACAAGGTGTGTTCCACGCGCACGTAATACATTCATGAACACAAACTCGAGGCAAGGATTTTGTCGGTTGCATGATTAATACAATACAAATTATGCATACTGCGGGGTTTGTGTACTACTGTGTGACGTTTTATCGTCCTCTTGCTAGCCACCGACCAGTACATGGGCAATTACTCTCATTACAGTTTGTCTGATGTGAGATTGAAAAAATCTGTAATTGATGAAAACCGACTATTGAATACAATGGCATGGTGATAGTTGAGAGTGGATGCGACTATTGATTACAATGGCATGGTGATAGTTGAGAGTGGATGCGACTATTGAATACAATGGCATGGTGATAGTTGAGAGTGGATGCGACTATTGAATACAATGGCATGGTGATAGTTGAGAGTGGATGCGACTATTGAATACAATGGCATGGTGATAGTTGAGAGGTGGTTAAGAGTGGATGCGATTGAATACAATGGCATATAGTTGAGGATGGATGCGACTATTGAATACAATGGCATGGTGATAGTTGAGAGTGGGTGCGACTATGTTTGAGGATACTACTTTCACAAACTCCAAATATATACATTGATATTAATTCAACTCACAATGACATTCTAAAAGTTGCTGAGTGAATATGCAAACATATAGCTTTGTATAAATCAGCTCCTAGTGTACAATGATGTAAGGCTCAATACAATACGTTTCCAAATGCATCAAACCAGAAGTCTTTTCCATAAAGTTGTAATCTTTTCATATTTTACTACGGATAATACTTTCCGCCAATATGACTCTTCTCTATACAAGCGCACGCAATGTTCTTACACAAAAACACGACAAAAAAGCTTAAAATGTACATACTATTTTCAGTGGGTATTTGAAATACTTCAGGAGCATAAAATATCACAAGGTTTATAAATGGCAACTGAATCATCAACATCAGGTCGGTTTTTTCACCCATCCGTCGAGGGTGAGGCCTGTTATAATTCACCTTTGCGTAATACTTGTTCAAATGTGACTAGATATGATTTTTACGCCGTTTTCCAATATTGCAGTAAGATTCCGACGGCGTACACTTAGCATGAGACTTAGCATGAGCATGTACCCGGGAGGAGAATCGAACCCAGGCATTTTGCGTGATTAACGAACGCCTTAGACATCGGGCTTCCCCGGCACACCGAGGTCGAACATAACAAGTACAGCACAATCAATCAGATACTAACCAACTAAAGATCATTTTGATTCAACTACATGTATCGTGATTGCGAGTATCAATCTTTGCTATCGTGATTGCTCATACAGAAATGAACTCAACGGTTTTCACACAGTATGTTGAGGAACAATTGCTGCCAGCTCTGCCGTACCAAAGTCTTGTTGTCATGGACAATGCTCCCTATCACAGTGTTCGAGATCTAAACAATAGGTGCCCAACTTCCAATACAAAGAAGTCAGATATGCAGCAATGGCTAACAAATAACAATATACAATTTCAATTAAGGCCACTAAACCACAGTTGTACTCTTTGATTAAACCTAACAAACCTCCAACCACATATAACATTGACAACATGCTACGCCAACACGGCCATAAGGTCTTGAGATTACCACCGTACCACTGTGATCTCAAGCCAATCGCACTTATCTGGGGAGACCTTAAAAGTACAGTGGCCCGGAAAAATCAATCATTCAAGTTGAATGATGTCAAGTACATTGTCAACACTGCTATATGTGACAGTGACATTGCACGTTGGCATGCATGTGTTGAACATGTCAAGAAGGTGGAGAAAGAGTACTGGTCGCTCCATTACCCCTACTAGTACTGTATACCTCACAGCCGCACCACTCAACTGACTGAGCTACATCTACTTTATCGAGAGCTAGAAAATACTGTAGACAGCAATCTTGTGTAGTTCGAATATCGCAGGCGTCGACTATCTTTCCAACAAAATGCTGGGGTCGAAAAAGTCATCTTGGCAGAACAAATCTACAACCTTTGAAGGTCTACCTACATTCGTAGACGATATATACGTGTTTGGCTACCTCCAACGCAAAGACTGCGTGTTTGCAAGAACGCCAAGGTATCACGGCGGGCGTTTGTGCACGACTGGAAAGGGAAGGTTCCGCACAACTCGTCGTTTCCAGAATCTCCATCGCAGTACAAGAGTCTTTGGCAAACCCCAAACATGTGCAAACAAATATCCTACACACGATAGGAATACGAGAAGACAACTGTGGAGCAATACGGAGCACCATCGCTAGAATAGAGAGAGAGACCGGAAAGAAAGCGAAAGACAAGTGGCAAGAACTATATCCGGAAGAGAAGGCATACGCTCTATTCGTAGCAAAGATAGACGTTTCCGAAATACCCATTGGCAAGCTACAAACGTCGATTCCAAAACTAGAACGCCAACTACTAGCACACGGCTATGGGCTGTATTCTATCGACTATACAAGAGATTTTTCTGGTGTACTGGACCGCAAGCGACTGGTGGAATACCTTTGGAAGAAACATGGTTTCCGAGAGCAAGGAGACTTGGCTTCTGCTATGCAGTCGAACAGTCCAACAATTCTAGACAATACGGGTAGTGTTGGGGCCCACGTCTGTACTTGGGTCGAAACCTGGAATGGCTATACAATGCGAACGAAACTCTACAACAAGGTTGTTTCCAATTTCGAAGCAGGAGAAGTCCGGGAGCAAATCGGAGGACATCTGGCAGACTATGTGGATTGCCCAAACCAACACTTGCGGAAAACTTTCCTGCATCCAGACGTGCAAGCCCGTGGTTGTACTCGCATAGAAGTTTCGCTCAACGCACATCCACACAACTCGGAAGAAATAGCAAACGATTTGGTAGAACAAACTCTACAGATGGTATCTCCTCCAGACACCAACTTGTTCGTAGTACAACCACCAGCAAAACAATGGGAAAACCTATCGAAATGTCTAGACCGCTGTCTCGTTCTGGCAGATCGCCCACAGGGCACCATCTTCGTAGTTTGGTATGCACATTCGGAGACGGGTAGAATTTCTGGGGTCCGTATTGCCCCTACAAGAGCAGACGACGATGCTACGTGGGAGAAAGCGATAGAATGGGCTGCAGCAGATTTTGGTTTCCGAGCATGTCCAATATTTCGGGTAGATATACTCTCCGCTACAGATACTGGTGTGGAGCTAGGTCCACTACGTTGCTATACAAAGGATCCCGATGCCAAAACGATACTGTCTGCGAGTAGAAGACCAACCCAGCTACATCCAAATGGAGCAGATCCAAGTATTCTATTGCCTTCTTGCAAAACAGTAGAGTGGGAATGGAGAACAGCCAAATGTAGCACCATAGGCAAGGCTTCTTCCAAATTCCAACTGCAGGAAGTACCAGAGATTGCAAAAGACAGAGAAGTATATTCTGGATCTACTAGGGGTCGAGGAAAACGATTGCAAGAAATACAAGAAGCAGCACGCGTGGAAGAATGGAGAAGAGAAGCATGGGCTATCCTAGAAGGCAGAAAGACAGCACGGCAGATAGAACAAGAGCAGCGTAGAGAAAAAGAACTGGAGCGACTAGGAGAAATAGTACGGGAGAAAAAGGAATACACAAAGCGATCGGAAGAAGCTCGCAAAGAGGTAGAAACGGCTCTACGAAATACACAAACGAAAAAAATAGCAGACGTTGCAAATACTACATGGTCCATTCTAGGATACCGCAAACAACCAGAAGGACAAACATCCAGCAGAGTAGTCTTGTTGCAAAAAGGCGTAGAAATGCCAATTGTGGTTTGGGCAAACAAAAGATTGGAGCGTGTGCTGGAAGAGAACCACGACTTTGTGGAGACCACTACGGACAAATACGGACGAAAAACGTGTTGGATACCAAGAGGCTTGGCCAGCAACGAAGAATACCCTGTTGGCCTGCACATCCGCATAGAACCCACCAGAACTTTCCAGAAAGATGGAAGGACCATATTCTGGAATCCTATTGCCGTAGTAGTTGCCCCAGATCCTAGAAAGCTATCTTCTATAGAAACCGAAGAGATAGAGCAAGACTACAACGACCTGCTAGACGAAAAAATGCAAACCATTGTGGTAGAGACTGCAATAGCCCCACTTCCAAAGGATACAACCAAACTTCTAGATGTCGAGCCTGGAAAATACATGTGCAGAAAGTTTGCCGCTGCAACATTCCGAGGGAAAGCAAGAATTGTATTGTATCTGCTGCCAGTGGGGGGAAGATGGGAACCCCACCACAGACATCGAAATACCGACATATGGATACTTTCTAGAGAAGGAAATAGAAAAACTTGGTGGAGTAGAAGCCCTGCGGAAAGGAGACAGCTTGCTTCTCTGTAGAGTAGGTCAGGAAAAGACAACACCACAAAAAAACAAAGATAGACTGGTGTCTGTAGTATACAGCTAGAAACAAATAGTCCCACCAGGGATACAGAATAGAATACCTCTCGCGTACCCAACGATATACATTCTGCTACGATTTGCAAACTGTTTTGCTGTATGTTTGCCAAAGTGGCCTAGTATACGAGCTGGTTGGTCTATTGGGCCTTCCCCAGCCATTTCTCGTAGTTTTTCGTCCACAGAAGAATACTCCATAGGGTCCTCTTTCCAGTATGCAGCCTCTGCTTTGTTGAATTCCTCGAATGGGAAGCGAGGTGTATTTCCTCTGCTGTATACAATATGCATGCTCGAGATGTATACACAGTAAAGTATATACTTCGAATTGGGCACAA